CAGAGCCATTTTCGTCTATTTCCTCTTCTATGTAGCGGTTGGATCCTCAATCAAAATATTCAGCCATCTGCAATGGCGAGCTATTGCTGGAGCTGGCAACGCAGTAGGGACAACATGTGTCCCATGAGGCTCCTCAATTTGACACGTGGAAAACTTTGTGTGTTCCACGTACTTACTTCTTTCTTTCTGTTGTTGACCTGCATTTCCGCATCGAATCCACCGCAGACCTGCTTTCTGAATCGGATTCTCGCTTCAAATTCCACTGCCTACATGGTACTGTACTGGTCTCTTTAGTTAATATAGTATTACTCATGAGTTGAATCTATTGTTTTTTGAATTACCGTGTTGTTATTGTTGTATTTTACTGAAATTAGATAAATCATAAATGGGAAAAACTGAATTAGGGCCTGTTTGGGATCTGAAAGTCAAATTAGAACAGGTGTAAGAGGAAGTCGACTTCCTGAGGAAGCACTTGTAGACGAAGCAAAGTAGAAGTAGAAGCTCCAACTAGGCCCTGACAATGTCAATGAAGATGTTTGGCCTCGCTTAAAAGCGTGATTTTTCCTGCTTTTGTGGGTAGTAAAATATAATGTTCTACTAAGTTCACAGAACTTTTTGCATTTCTGTCATCAGGGAATTGATGTATTTATAAGTGCAAAGTTTCAGGATTAATGTTTGTAAAACAGGTTTGTGCATGTAAAAAAATCTGGAAAATGATGTTTGCAAGAGTCTGGGGTCATTACCGGACGATTATGTCCAGGTAATGCACATTGAATCAAGGATAATTGTAGCCGAAATGCTTTTCATTTTCTTGCGTTCGAATTGGTGATCCTCTCTTTCATTATTTGATCAGGGCAGTGCGAAGTTGGATCCCAAGAACCACCCTGAACACTCGGGAAAGATTAATTATGAGTGCCTACATACTGCATTCGGGTTGTTGGACGCAGACATTTTCAATGACTCTAAGGTATTCTATTCCTATATAATATATTGAATAGTCATTGTTTTGTTGTATTTTTTTGGATTTATGGTGAGTGAGATTTAAAGTGAAATGAAACTGTGCTCTTATGTTTGCCTGTAGATGCTGGAAATTGAAAAGGGTGTGAAGGAACTTAACATTCCTATTACCAGAGCCAATCGAAAATTAGTTGCTTCCGTTAATGGAGGATTAGAGAATCCATCTTATTTGGTTTTCAATTCTGCATGGAACATTTGTCATGCACGAAATGCAATTAAACAATTCAATTATCCTGCTTTATCTGGTGTACAAAGACACGGACGCGACGAAGATATTGCCTTTATGAGTGTGAGTCTCTCCTATTTCAGTAAATTAAACAGAAAGTTGGGAAATTAAAATCTATCACGTGTCTGATTTATCATAACCAACTCCGTGTTATGCTGTTGGATCAGATTCTTGAACTTGGACAACTTATTAGGAGTAAAGTAATTACATCTGAGGAGCTTACTGGGATCTTTCTAAAAAGACTAAAGAGGTATCATGAACTCATTATCATTGAAATTATTATTCAACTTTCGTCGCGAGATTTGGTTCTTGTTAAATCATTTGAAGGATTACTGCAGATATGGCCCTGTCCTGGAATCTGTTGTCACTATCACGGAAGAATTGGCTTACAAGCAAGCAAAACAAGCTGATCAACTACTAGCAAAAGGAACTTATTTGGGTAGTTCCCTTTTTCTTACTTATAAGTGAACTGTATTAGCTTAGCCTGACTTGCTCATTTGGTATTTCTTGATGGTGAGGCGTGAGTGGAATTATTTATTTCACAAATTCTGTTAGCTTTTCTAATTTAATGTGGATGTCGATTGTTTCTCATCTCCTTTTCAGTTCTTGCTTCGTGTTTTTTGTTGCCTTCATTAATAATTAGGAAAGGCAAACATAAGAGTAGCTCCTCCATACAGGTCCTCTTCATGGAATTCCATATGGGCTTAAGGATATTATCGCTGTACCCCAATACAAAACAACTTGGGGCTCTGAATCTTTTAAAGATCAAGTGCTTGACATTGAAGCTTGGGTGTATAAAAGGTATTTAGCTAATATGAAAATTATTAGATTGGCATATACCACTTTTCCAACTTATGATGATAGCTAATGCAGGCTTAAGTCTGCTGGGGCAGTTCTTGTCGGAAAGCTTGTGACGGGTTCACTGGCATATGATGACATTTGGTTTGGGGGTAGAACAAGAAACCCATGGAATATTGAGGAATACTCCACGGGTTCATCAGCTGGGCCGGCGGCCTGCACCTCTGCTGGTGCGTCGTCGTTTATTTCGATGAAATTCTTAATGAACTAATCTTCTGTTTTCCAATAATTCTTGTTATCTTTCATGTTAAAAATGTTGAAAATAAAAGATTTTGTATCTCATCCTTTTCCTTTCAACAAAACATGATTTATATTTAAAATAAGCTTACTGGATCTTTTTCCCAAAAAGAATAAACTCACTTGAAGCTCTCTCGGATGCATATTTAAGCATATGGAATATGTCTTACTCTATGAATTTTTCTCTTCAAGGTATGGTTCCATTTGCAATTGGTTCAGAAACTGCCGGATCTATAACTTATCCTGCTGCCCGTTGTGGTGTGACTGCATTGCGTCCAACTTTTGGAACTGTTGGTAGAACTGGCGTAATGAGCATATCTGAGAGCTTGGTAGAAGTCCTCTCCTTCTGAAATGCAATTTCCTATTTTGCGTTACTCGTGAAATTTAGATCCTACCAATTTGACAGGATAAACTCGGCCCTTTCTGTAGAAGTGCTGCAGATTGTGCAGTTGTTCTGGATTACATCCGAGGTAAGGATCCAGACGATCTGTCTTCCCGAGACATCCCTCTTGCTGATCCATTTGCTGTTGATATAACGAAGCTAACTGTCGGATATCTTGAAGATGCTGAGATGGATGTAAGTGTTTATATATTAATTGAGTACAATCACTCTGTAAATGTGACACCATATATACATGAATCTTTTCCACGATTGGCTATAATACAGGTTGTCCAGGTGCTTCGTTCAAAGGGTGTCAATATGGTTCCATTTAAACTGAATTATACTGTGGAATCTGTTCAAGGAATCTTGAATTTTACGATGGATGTAGATATGTTGGCTCACTTTGATGAGTGGCAGCGGTCTCACCAGGATGATGATTATGAAGCTCAGGATCAGTGGCCTCTTGAACTTCGTCGAGCACGAGTGATATCTGCCGTAGATTATGTTCAAGTACGCCAAATAGACTGCAAAAATTTCTTCTTTTTAAGCGCCCACTGTTTCCAAACACATGTCGAGCCAATCACGATATGATCCTATAATAGATCTTTCTCAATCGAACTCTGTGATCATTCACATGTCAAAACAAAAGGGAACGTAGCAAAATTTTGATACAAACTGATGGATGCAAACTAATAGCACGCTCTAAATAGATTTTACATTTTGGCCTTGTTGATTGAGATTCAAATATGTGCCTACTGCTATTTCGTAATCCAATAAGCTTGAGCTCTTTGAGGAGAACTGAAATGGTAAATTTCTGTTGGCAGGCACAGAGGACGCGTGGAAAACTAATACGAGAAGTGAAAGAGAATTTCAAAGTTAATGCATTCATTGGAAATGCAACCGATTGGGAACGGGTTTGCATGGGCAATCTTGTAGGCTTTCCTGTAATTGTTGTTCCAACTGGATTCAAGAAAATATCTGATGCCCCTTCAAATGTTCCAACTGGATTCAAGAAAATATCTGATGCCCCTTCAAATGATACCCGGAGGAGAACTACAAAAACAATGGGTATTTATGCACCACCAGACCATGACCACGTAGTAAGTTCTTTGGAATGCCCTTTTTTGATCTACATTTGTCTCTGTTAACATTTTTGGTAATGAATCGACATATCAGAAAGAGTTCTATCCTAGTAAAAATAAATAAAATGCAGTTCTAATCATATATTCGTACTGAAGTATCTTCTTAGATTAAGATGTTACCATCTGGATAAGCAACCAAACAGCAAGTAGAACAGTTCAACAAAACGAGATAACTTTTATCCTAGTTTTTATGAGTATTAAGCCAGATGTTATGAATCTTATTCATTCTATTCTGGGTACTCACTCGTATGTATTCTTTTATATTACATGCAGGCTTTGGCATTGGCAATGGCTTATCAATCGGTCACAGATCATCACAAGCAACGTCCACCAATTGATGACCTCGGGCCAAATGATTTGATTCCAAACCCTCCCAGAGCTGTCGTGCCCCCAAGACAATTGTTTTGATAAAATCACAGTTTTTCGTTTTTGGAAACTTACGACAGTTGCATGTCTGGGAATATGTTATATGTTGAACTCATTGCATTTCAATTTGAAGAAAATCAGCTAGAAGTTGATCTTCCAATTCATTAGAATTCGAGGACACTGTTGTCGGAAGAATTATGCCCCGTTTGGCCCCATTCTCTTTTATTTTTTTGTTTTAAAAAAAAAACACTATTCTCAACCTTAAAATTTTGGAGG